GGGGGGGGGGGTGTCCCACACTGAATTGGGACTGATGCAGATGGTCCATGATGCCCACTGACACCATCTGTTCACAATGGGGTCCGTTCGGACAGCTCTACCCCAGAGGTTGGCTCAGTGGACAGTGCTGCTGGCTCAGGGTACTGGGTTCATAAGTGATCTAAACAAACAGCCTTTCAGCATAAACAGATCTCCTTACTAACTCAAGGACCTGAACAACTAAGTTCCAACTGGAGGTAGAAGAAATCATTCTTATTGCATCATTAACTGGGTTACATGATTGCTGTTATTTACAAAATGAAGAAGATACATAGCGAAAATATAAAATGTAATGTGAGGAAAAAATAAGACACTCTCCTCGATGTCACTGTGGGGAAACCACCTGTCAAGGAGCAGGTGAAAGTGAGAGGCCCTGGGAAGCCAACAATGGCAGCTCGGGCAGGTGAGAGCTGGCCTGCAGCTTGGCATGGGCACAGAAGGGACCCCAGGAGATCTGGCAGCTTCAGTCGTTCATGGGTCAGCTTTCCTGCCTTGAGTGGGAGCACCAGAGTGTCTGTAAAAACAATGCCCGTGGCAGGATGGGGAGTTAAGACACTACTTCCAGTGACTAACAACTAATAGTCCCTCTAGTGGAATGCCCAAATTTAAGGGAGTATTCTTACTACTACTACTAACTCCTACTACTAATAATACTTGCAAACATGCTTAATGCTGTCTAGACAAGGGTACTCATTGTGGCATTGTTTGTAACAGCAAAATCTGGAAGCAATAAAACGTCCACCAGCAGGACTGGTGTTAAGTAATCGTTGTAAAGGTACAATAATGGGGTAGGTGCAGCCACAGCAAAGAGTGAGGGTGCTCTCTGAGCACCGGACAGATCAAATATATATCAAATGAAATGAAGCAAAGACACAGAACGGTGCAATTACACCTTTTGCGTAAAAAAGGGGGAAGAAGGACTATTTAGACATAACTAATAGCAGTAACATACAGAGGCTTCTGGACCTGGGCAAATGAGGGCCAAAGATTGAAAATGGGACTCTAATATACACCTTCTCAGCATTTCTAGGCTTTAAACCCAGGCTCAAGAGGTTTGAATGTATTAATAATCAAAATATTAAATTAAAAATTGTAAGGATAAAGTTATATGTACATATCCTTGAATATAGACAATTCACTGTGAAGTGTGGGAACTGCTAAGTGTGGCTGCCTTTCTGTTGGGGGCTGGAGCAGGAGAGAAGACTTAGTTTTTGCTATAAACCCTCTTGTACCATTTGTATTTCTTCTTTTTTTTAATTTTTAAAAAATTTATTGATTTGAGAGAGAGAGAAAGGGAGAGAGACGGGGATTGATTTTGCTGCTCCACTTATTTATGCATTCGTTGGTTGATTCCTATATGTGTGCTGACCAGAAATCAGACCCGCAACCTTGCGGCATCAGGATGACACTCCAACCAACTGAGCTACCCGACTAGGGATGTACCATTTGTATTTCTTGTCACATGCTGTACTCTTATCACTTCAAAACATATAACAATACACTGAAAGTTTCTAGGTATCAGGCACTGTCCAAGCAAGCATTTGACACTAAGTAGCAAAAGTGAATATCATTAGACATGTGGTCTCCACCCAGCCTGCCTGGGTTTGAATCTCTGGTCCTCCAACTTACCAGCTATATCACTTCATTCATTCATTCATTCATTCATTCATTCATTCATTCATTCATTTATTTATTTATTTATTTGTTAAGCCTCACCTAAGGATATTTTTTCCATTGATTTTTAGAGAAAATGGAAGGGGTGGGGAGGGAGAGGGGGGGGGGAGAGAAACACTGATGTGAGAGACACACTGATTGGTTGCCTCCTGCATGCACCCTGGAGACATGGAGGAAAGCTGTCTGCCCCTGGACTGTTAGGTAAAGAGAAATACACTGGATAGCTGGGAGAGAATCTCACCCTCCATCTGTCTCATCCAGAGTCTCTGCAGAGAGAGCAGCCAGTGAGGAGTGTGGACAGAATCAAAGGGATAGACAGAGAAACTGGGTCTTTGTGATACAGTTTTGGACCCTGCATTAGCCTCAAGTCAGCCCTTGTTCTGATGTGACCCCCACAATTACACACACCAGTCACTCCCCTCCATGGCTTTCCCGCCCTTGTCATCGGAAGTGTTCTAGTATGTTACAGTAAGAACTAGTTTCACCTCCCCTTTCAGATGAGAAAACAAAAACTCACACAGGTGCAGTCACTTGGCCAAAGTGAAGCCATCTGGGCAGGTGAACTAAATGGGTAAGAGATGGAGCCAGGTGGAACCCAGGCCGGAGCCTGGACACATCACCTCTTCCAGGGAGAGCCTGGGCTCCTCCGGGCTCACCTCCTACCAAGAGAGTCAGTGAGCAATTAGCTCCCCAAGAACCTCTCACTGGCCACGGGTTGTACTGGGGGCCCAACCGCTAAGTCCTGCAGTAAAGGGAACTCTGGGGGGAGAGGGGGAAGGAAGGTGCAGAACCCTGAACTTGGCCTGGGGAGACTCACCCCAGCACGTGCTTGGCAATCACATCCACCTTCTCCGAGATGGCGCACAGTTGTGCTCGACCCACGGCAGGGCGAGCCCACAGGTAGGAGTGTGCTGGGGAGACCAAATCCTGCAGACGGCAAATGTGACCCTGGACGAAGAGGCAGCCACTCAATGCACTGGGGACAGGGCTGCCACGCTGGAAGAAGGAATTATGGGGTGCTACCCTCAGTCTCCCAGAGCTCCCAACCCCACACCTGTCTCAGCAGGATGATCCTCTCCACATAGGCTGGGTCCAGGACAGCCCTGTCTGGCAGCTGATTCCCAAACGCCTCTTCCACGAGCTCCTGCAGCTGCCCCACCAGCTGGCGCCTCTGCGTCTCATTGCCCACCAGCCTACAAAGGTGCAGCCTGTGGGAAAAACCACAGGAATTCTCTACACTTAGGGAAGGAAAGGGATCTGGCTAAGGTCTGAAACAGGTAGCTTAAGGGCCCCAAGCAACCTGGACACGTGCTGTTTTTAGTGCTTTGAAAACAGTAGCTAACATTTTAAAGTAGAAAGAGATTACACAAAAATAAGAGATTTCTGGCCCTGGCCGGGTAGCTCAGTTGGTTAGAGCATTGTCCTGACACACCAAGGTTTCAGGTTCAATCCCCGGTCAGGGCACATATAAGAATCAACCAATGAATGCATACGTAAGTGGAAAAACAAATAGATGTTTCCCTCTCTCTAAAAAAATCGTTAAAAAAAAAATAAATTTCTGACTTCTCTTGGGAAATCAGATCTGGCTGCAAAGAGCCCTCGTTCTCCACGCTTCAGTTAGCTTGAGCACTGTAGAGGCTGCCCAATTTAGATCAACAGAGATTTCCAGTTCTCAGTCCTTCTGCGGCCCCCAGCAATGTGTCTCTTCCCTGGCTACCCACCTGATCTCTACAGGTGCCCATTTACAAAGAAGAATCAAGACTGTCTGCTTCCTCGAATGGTTTGAAGTGTGGGGCTCTGGCACAGAGAGTCAAAGGTCAAGAATACAGATTTCTTGGGTCAAGAGCAATGGGGTAGTCCAGGGACAGAGCTATTTGAATTCAGAGTGCCCAGCTAAAAAGTTCAGGTTGTCAGTACAAATTTTCTCCCTTCCAGAATTCTTCTGTCTTGTCCTTTGGAGGCAGCAAAGCCTCTAAGACTCAAACCCTCCAGCCAAGCCCTATCAGTCCTTGGTCCTCTAGGCTGCCCTTGCCCTGTCCCTAGCAGGGGTAGAGGGACTTGAGATTGAGAGAGTGTGAGTGGTGCCAGACTAAGGACCCTTGTTCCTGGCAAGGGTATAGCAGGCAGCAGGGGTGGGTGAGCATGTCATGGGCTCTGGAATCAGACAGGCCTGCAAGTGAGGGAAGCCCCTCCGGGTGTTCAGAGCAAGTGGCATGACCGTCTGGAGCTTCAGGTTGGTCACTTGGAACAACAGTGGCCAACAGTGAGGGCCTCCCTCACAGGGCATTGTGCAGGTTAAATGCTGGGCTACCTGTGAAGCACTGAGCACAAGGCCTGCACTGCTGCCACATCTGGAGGGGAGCGGCGGGGATCTGAACAGGGGCATAGGAGGTAGAGCTCGGGAGGGTGAGGGCCCTGGGAAGCTATTTGGAGCACAGAGTGGCCAGAACACATAATAATGATTTTTTTTAAAGCAATTAAGTATAACGACATTGGCATTGAGACTGTCCCTAGGATGCCCCCAGTAGCTAGAGGAGACGGCAGAAGGAAAGGTATCAAAGACCCTGGTGGTTCTGCTTTGTGATAACATGTCAGGACCGAGCCTGGGACACAGTGAGTGCTGATGACTGTCGATCACTATTCCTGCCTCCCCACAGCACTGGCACTGCTGCTGCTCCCACAACCACTCCTGCTCTTTACCATCACGAGCTAATCACCGTGGCGCTTTAGTCATCGGAACGTCTACTGTAACAGCTTCCACTTTATTAAACCCATGGGCCTCCCAAAGCCGCATGTCCTCCCTGATTCACGCTAAGCAAAAGCCCACCTCCGCCCTCCTCCAGCCACCCCAGGTGCTGGTCACAAAGCATCCCCAGTCCTTGCCCCATATTCTCAATATCACTTTCTCTGTAAGAAAGGCAGAGTACAAGTTGCAGTCAACAGGAGTGTTGCATTTGCTCCTGAACGCCCCATTAGGAGCTGAGTGAACTTGGGCCAGTTAGGTAACTTCTGTCTTGGTTTCCTTGTATGTAAAATAGGGCAAAATCATACAACTGACCTCCCAGGTCTGACTGAAGAAGTGAGGTAATAACCCTGAAAGCCCTCATGAGTTTCCTGGGTACTCACACAAGGAGAGCACCAAGGAGAGCCTGTCCCCAACCCAGTGTTCAAGGGAAGGCGGCAAGGAGTCCCTGTAACCCTGAATACAAACCTGTCTGCTGCTTCAGCACCCAGGCCGTAGACTGTGACATGTCAACAGTGATGGGAACTGTAACTGTGATTGGAGGTTTCTGAGTGAAAGACCACTTGAAACATGAAAGAGGTAGCATGAGACAGTGTTCCTTCAGCGCTGGCAGGTGGGGAAACAGCTCTAAAATGAAGGTGCTCCCTGCCAGGCTTTGGTGGTCAACAGAATCCATATGAGGGGTACCCAGGAATAATGGTAATGGTAATTGACAGCACTTTCTATGTGCTGGAGGCTGTGCAAATACTTTGAGGCAATGTTTAACTCAACTCTTAAAACAACCGCACAGGGTGGGTACTGTTGTTAGCCCCATTTTAGGGAAGAGGAAACAGAGGCCTGAAGAGGTCAGGTGACTACCTGTGGTGACACAGCACTAGACTCCTGAGCTCACAGTCAAAATCAGTTGTATGCAGTCGTGGCTGGTTTGGCTCAGTGGTTGGAGCATCAGCCCGCAGACTGAAGGGTCTTGGGTTTGATACCGGTCAAGGGCAGGTACAGGAGGCAACCAATCAACGTGTCTCTCTCACATCGCTGTGGAAAAAAAAAAAAAAATCAGGTCTACGTGACTCTGGAGCCCACAGGACCCTCTGCCATGGGGACCCATTGTCAGCAAGAAAGCCCTTTCCCACCAGGGCTGTCTAAATCCCTACTCACCTATTAAATTCCGGGAGTTTCTCCAGGTCCAGCAGGGCTGAGTGGCAGGAGATCCGGGTCAGGTCAAACTGTGCTATCAGCTCTGGCAAGGTCCTGCCCATCTGGTTTTCTGCAATGAGGCAAGTCCAACGCTCACCTCCCTCCCTCCACTTTCAACCCCAAGGGCTGCTGAGTGAGCACGCTCTGGGCTTACCACCCCATTTTCACCAAAGGGATTCAACCTCTATTTTTACATCAAGGGCGCAAATGAGCTTTCACCTGCAGAAAGGGCTCTGTCATTAAGGAAAAAATGGTCTGAGAACAATTTGGCTTAACCCACACTCAGTGCCCTCAAAGACATGAGCTGCAGGCACAGCATCTCTACCAGGCCGTGCTGCAGAGACACTGATTCCACTGGTCTGAGGGGGCTCCAAGCACCAGTGTGCTTTATGAGCTTCCTGGGTGATTCCGAGGTGCAACCAGAGGTGAGGATGGCTGTGCTGGGGGCTGCTTCTCAGAAGCACCTCTACTCCACACAGCCAGTGGGCATCATGGTCAGACGGCAGCCAACAGCGAGTCTCTGTCACGTCCCTTACTAGCTGTGTGACACTGGCAAATTCTCTAACCTCTCTGAGCCTCCCAATCCTCTCCACTCTCACAAACAGTGGAGATAATAAATACCTTCAAGGATATTTTAAGGATTAAGAGCAGAATATACAATAAACAGACTATTACCGCTTCATTTTCAGAAATCTCCCCCACAAAGGAGCCCTCCTACTTGGGGCTTCTTTAAGATTTGGGCTCTAAGTCTTGGGCCAAGGATAAGGGCTCAGCTTGGAATAAACTAGGTCATAATAGTACTAGTGATACTGTTAGAGGAGTAATATAATTGTAATAATCACAGCAGCTGTAATTTTTGTGCCTATTGTGTGGCAGATGCTGTGCTGGGGGCTTTATACTCATTAGCTCAGTGAATCCTAACTTACGCCTAAGAGACACTTAGCCCCATTTTACAGATGAGGCAACCAAGGCTCAGAGACTGTAAGCTCCTTGAGGGCAGAGACTATGCCTGTCTTGTTCTCTGTTGTAGCCCCAGCACTTAACACAGTGTCTAGCTCAATGAACATTTGTGGAATGAAAGACTAAATTAATGCAAGTTGATGCTGCTGGTAGGTGGCACAGCTGGACTGTGGACCAGGTGGGCCTGTACCCAAGCCCCGCCACCTCACTGCTGCGGTCCTACCCCGTGAGCTCTCAGGTGAGTGGGTACCTGCGAAGCCCGAGCCACAGTTAGTGATGATGTCGAGCAAGGCATCTGGCAGGAAGCCGGCAGCAGCAAAACTCTCCAGGAAAATGTCCCCTTGCCTCTTGGACAGCTTACTGCCATCCTTGTTGAGGAGCAGGGGCAGGTGGGCAAAGCGAGGTGGTGGCCAGCCCAGGGCTTGGTAGAGCAGCAAGTGCTTGGAAGTGGAGACCAGCCACTCGGAGCCACGCAGCACATGGCTGATGCCCATGTGGTGGTCATCCACCACGCAGGCCAGGTGGTATGTGGGGAATCCATCGCTCTTCAGGATGACTGGGTCCCCCTCCACACTGGCCACATCATGCCGATTCCAGCCATATACCAAGTCCTGGAAGGCTGGTGCCTCCTCCTCCAGACGAAAGCGGATAGCAGGCTTGGGGTCCTTGGCCAGCTTCTGGGCTACCTGCCCCTGGCTCAGGTTCCGGCACCGATTGTCATACCTGTTGGGAAATACAGCAGCACAGGTGCTAAGAGTCCTGATGATGGCATGAGCCCTATCTATGTCTCTGAACACTATATTACCTGAGGGGAAAAGTCATCTGTCAGTGGAATAGTACAGTGTTTATAGTGAAAAAGCTGTGCAGCAGTTGAGTGCGTGAGTTTATCCAAACATCGAGCCCTAGTGCAAATGGTTCACTGAAACTAAAACTTCAGTTATTGAGGCCACCACTGATGGGAGTGCAGCCAATGCAGGGCCTCCAGGCAGCACCACGTCTCGAAGGTCTCCAACCTTTTTGCACCTCATGTGTGCAAAATGATGCATGACAACATCATTTGTCACAGCTCTCTTTTTTAATTCTCACCCAAGGATATGTTTTTACTGACTTTTAGAGAGAGAGAAAGAGAGAGAAAAAAACATTGATGTAAGAAAGAAACATCACTTAGTTGCCTCCCGCGCTTGCCCCAACCAGGGATTGAACCCAAACCTAGGTATGTTCCCTGACCAGGAATTGAACCTGCAACCTTTCGGTGCAGGGGAGGATGCTCCAATCAACAGAGTCACTCGGCCAGGGCACAACTCTATTTTTTTATGACAAATATTAGAAATGACATAAAGTTCATCATCATGAACCTTCCATGATTAAGGAAATGATAGTACATCCATACAACAGAACACTATGCAAGCATAAAAAACCTGTGGACTGATCCAGACTGATCACTGAGATAAGCTGCCCAATATTTACTGTATGCTACCACTGGAACGGGGGAAAGAGAAGCAATATGCATTTATCAGTGTACGTACTGAACGTCTCTGAAGGGGACATAAGCAAATTCTAACACCAGCTGTCTCTGGAGAAGGAACTGAGTAGATAGACTCAGGGCTGAGAGAGAGCTTTGTGTACATATTTTTCCAAACATGAGAAAATTTTACTCATTCAAAATACCAAGTAACTAAAATTACATGTTACTGCCTAGTACCCAATGCAACCAGCAGTTTGGATACGGCCCCAATAATCCCCACCTCCTGGTGTTTCTGCCCTTGTGCCACCCCCTTCCAGGGAGTGTGGGCTGGACCCATACTCCTTAGTGACTTCCTCCTAATGAACAGAGCACAACCCAAGTGATGAGCTGTCACTTCCTCAAAAGACTCTGCCTTCTGTCCCGCTCCCTCGCTCTCTCCCTGGATCACTCTGAGGAGAGCCAGCTGCCATGCTGTGAGATGCGCCACGGAGAGGCCCACGTGGCAAGGAGCAAGTGTGTCCGGTGACAGCCAGTGAGACCCCAAGGACTGCCGACAGCCTCATGGGGAAATGGAAGCAGTTCCTCTTCAAGCTAAGCCTTGAAAGAAACCTTGAGCCAAGGGTCCAGGTAAGCGGTGCCCAGAATCCTGACCCACAGAAACTATACCATGAAAGCTTGGGGGTAACTTGTTCTGCAGCAACAGCTTACATACACCCAACTTTGGGGAGGCAGCATTACAGGAGGGGGCCCTCACCGGGGTGCCTGGCGGTGCCTCAGGGCCTCCTTCTTCAGCAGCTCCAGCCGCTGCGAAGAGCAGAAGCAGGGGTAAGCGGCCCCAGTCTTCAGCAGAGCTTCTGTGGCCTGGGCGTACAGCTCAAGCCGCTGGGACTGCAGGTAGGGCCCTGCGGGGCCTCCCCGGCGTGGGCTCTCATCTGGCGGGATGCCTGGAGCACGGAGAGACAGTAATCACCAAACAGTAACAATAAGATACACGTGACACTGGTTCGCGGGCACTGCTCTAAGGGCCTGGCAAACAGAGTAAAGCTTTTAGTCTTCCCAGCAACGTGTGAGCTCAGGACATCATACTCTCTGTCTCACAGGTGAAAATTCAAGCAGAGGTTCAGCGCTCAAGGTCCCTCGGCCTGGCGATGAGGAGTCAGGCGGAGGCGAGCTGGCTCCAGGGCCACGCCCCCAACCTCACACCCTGCCCCTGCCCTTCTCCTGGGGAGGGGAACACCCCCCCCCACCTCCCATCCCCAGCACCCCCGCGCCTGGGCCAGCAGACTCAGGAGGAAGAGCGCGGTTCAGGGCACAGCCCAGCACAGGCCGGGCCAGACTTGGGCTCTGTCCTCGGCTGGCTGTGATAAGGGATCCAGATGTGGGAGCACCAGAGAGCCAGGCACCTGCCAGCTGCTTTTCTATTTTGCGATCTCTGCTAAGCCTCAGAACCACCATACCAGGTAGATGTCATTATCATCCCCAATTACTAGAGAGAACGGAGGAACAGGGTACTTTGTCACATCACTTAGCCAAGGATAAGGGGCACAGCTGGATGCAAACCCAGGGAAGCTGGCCAGAGCCCATGCTCTTCACCCTCCCTGCACTGCCTCTGCATTCCCTAGCCTTCCCAAGCCCCAGGTTCTTTTTTCCCTTTTCTTTTTATTAAAGAAACACTAAGTTATTTTCCAATGACTGAGAATCACTGTGGGTTTTAACCCTCACCCGAGGATACTTTCCCATTGCTTTTCAGAGAGGGTGGAAGGGAGAGAGAAGCATCACTGTGAGAGAGACACAGCGACTGGCTGACTCCTGCTCTCACCCTAACCAGGGCTGGGGACCAAACCTGCAACTGAGGCACGTGCTCTTGGCCAGAATGGAACCCAGGACCCTTCAGTCTGCAGGCTGACGCTCTGACCACTGAGCCACCCCGGGCAGGGCGACCTCAGTTTCTTTCTCTGAAAAGTGCAGCTGACAGCTTACTGTGCAGAGTGACTGAGAAGTAAACACATCAGTGCGCCCTGGTCAGTGTGGTCCAGTTGGTCGGGCATCATCCTGTGCAGTTCAATTCCCGGTCAGGGAATATACCTGGATTGTGGGTTTGGTGCCCTTCCTGACTCTCTAAAAATCAATTTTTTAAAAAAAATCCGTGCTCACAAAGCACTCAGCCAATGGCATACCTCGAACAGCTGCAATAAAAGCCCTTAGAGGAAATGGGCTTTATTATCAGCCAAACCCCCAGTCCAAGGTCCAGGTGCCTCAGGTCACAAAGGACATGCTGAACTATGAACACTTCCAGGAGAGGGTAGGGGGGACACAGAAGAGTGGAATGATGGCTTTCTGTCCTCAAAAAGCTTTCAAAGGAATTAGGAAGAGCACAGATAATCTTGCACACCCAACGTTCACACATACTCTGGAGACAGGCCCGGGTTCAGACGCACTGGCCAGACTCAGACCTTGGGCCAGTCGCCTTTCAGAGCCTCCATTTCCTCATTTGTAAAAGGTCACAAATGGTGACCTTCTCCTGGGGGGCGGTCACATGGCTTAGTGTGCTGCCTGGTAAGTGCGCTGCACTCAGTCAGCTTTGGCCGGACTGTTAACATTACTTAGCTCCATCTTCCACTGGGCCTTCACTTCTTCCTTTGTCAGAAAATAGGGTTGCGTTAGGTACAGTTGGGGGTCCCTTCCTGTTCTAACTGAACGTGTTCAGCATGTGGAATGTCCCAGGGCTTCAGTGACTCCACCAGGGGAACTGAAAAACTTATGTTCGCATGAAAATTAGTATGTAAATGTTGACAGCATTGATTCCTACGAGCTGAAAGTGGAAAAAGCCGAATGCCCATCCACGGATGACGGGTAAGTGAATGTGGAATGAATAGTATTTCCACACAATGACTGTTACTTGCTCATAAAGAGGAATGAAGTACTGACATATGCTACAACACAGATGAACCTTACACTAAGCAAAAGCCAGTCATATAAAGGCCACGTACTGTATAATTCCATTTATATGAAATGTTCAGAATAGGCAAACCACAGGGAAAGACAGTAGATCAGAGGTTGCCAGGGGCTGGAGAGGGAGGAACAGGGAGTGGCTGCTAATAGGTACTGGGTTTCATTTTGGAGTGATGAATGCTCTGGAATTAGAGTGGCGATGGTTGTACACCACGGTGAATACGTTAAAAATCACTGACTTGTACACTTTGAAATGGTGAATTTCATATTATGTGAATTACACGTCACAAAAAGAAAAATTCACTCCTGAACAAGCAGCTCCAGAGGTGCCTGGTACCTGCCCTCTGCCTCGCCAAAATGCTGGGTGCAGGCTCACTCACATATTCGTGCTGCACCAAGGGCTCCATGAGACTGGAATCTGTTCATCACCATCCCCTCGTGCCCGGCTGAGTGCCACATGTAGTCCAAGTTCTCACCTTGGCCTGCAGGGCATTACGTCTGTCCTCACATCTAGTTACTCTGCTCTGCTCTCTGTGCTTGGGCCACACTGGCCTTCTGGCAGCTCCTCAGATACGCCCAGCACTTAGCTTACACGGGGCCTTTGCACCTGCTAGTCCCTCTGCTCTCTTCCCCTAGGAAGCACAAGGCTGGCCCCTCACTTTGTGCAAGTCTCTGCTCTAATGTCACCTCCACAGCAAAGACCACCCTATCTAAGCCACCACCCCTTGCCCTAGCTGATTTGGCTCAGCCCCAGGACTAAAGGGTCCCGGGTTTGATTCTGGCCAAGGGCACATGCCTCAGTTGTGTGCAGGAGGCAACCAATCGATGTGTCTCTCTGACATCGATGTTTCTTCCCCCCTCTTTTTGAAAAGCAATGGAAAAAATATCCTATGGTGAGGATTAAAAACAACCACCAGCATACCTCCCCACGGGTTCCCTAACCTTAGGCTACCCTTTTCTCCACAGCACTCATCACCACTTAATGTCATAAGAATGAATTAATCTGTTTGCCTGTCTTCTCCTACTTGCTGGAACGCTACCTGGGTCACAGTAAGTGATCTTGGTGAATGAATGCCCTTTTATTCAGCTAATCTCGACTGGGTATCTGCTATAACCCTCTACCATAGAAGACAGAAATGAAATTGGTTTCTGCCCTTTAGGAATCCAGGGTCCAGTTAATAATTTACCTGAGATTAAAATACACATCTCAAAACAGTCTTGGTATTTTCGGGATTTTTTCTTGGGGAGCTTGATTTGCCATACCTGTCCAGGCAGGCAGGCAACTGTTGACCAATGGAGCATAAACACACTTCTCCTTGTCCTCCCTGAGCTTAGCTGTGCTCAGGATTAAACTTTCCACAAGAAGAGTGACTTCAGAGGCTGCACATGTTCTGTCTGGCTCATATAATGTGGTTAAAAACGCCCCCAAAAGCTGGTGTGGCCCAGCAGTTGAGCCTCAACCCATAACACAATAGGCTACTGATTCGATTCCAGGTCAGGGCACAAGCCCAAGTTGCAGGCTCAATCCCCAGTAGGGGGCGTGCAGGAGGCAGCTGATTGATGCTTCTCCCTCATCAATGTTGTGTGTCTTTTTAATAACACTTCGTTAAATTTATTGGGGTGACAATGGTTAATATGAACATATAGGTTTCAGGTGTGGGTTTCTATGTTACAAGATCTGTATATTGCTCTATGTGCCCACCAACCAAAGTCATCATCAATGTTTCTCTCTCTCCCCCCTCCCTTCCTTTCTAAAAAAAACCCCATAAAAACATATATATATTAAAAAAAAAAAGTCTTGAAAAACCTGAGCTCAGATTTAACAATGGGAAGTATTCATTGAAAAACAACAAAATCCCTGGAGTTGGAGTTCCTCTTGGAAGGCAGAAGATTTGACAAACTGGACCAGCATTCCCACTTGGGAATGAGGGACTAGAAATTTCTCCCACTCATCACAGGTCTAATGCCCAAGATTCATCTTATACTTGACCTATTTCCTGCCTGCTCCCAGAAGGACTTGAGATTCTGGGATAAGAAGAATCTCAAAACAGCCTTGCAGCTTTTCTTCAGGGAGCTTCAGTATCTTTTCAGGTGGCATTTGCCACCCCAGGCAGCACAAATGTTCCCATCTCTCCAGGAACTCCTCATTCTCCATCCTGGACCCTGTGGGAAGACTACAGGCTCCTTTGCCAGCCAGCCTCACCTGCCCACTCCAGCATGTCCTCAATATTGTCTGCTGCCCCGGGCACAAGGCGAGTCTGGTCTGTGTCCTCCAGCCGCAGGATGAAGCTCCCTCCATGCTTCTTGGCAAAGATGTAGTTGTACAAGGCAGTGCGGAGGCCACCCAAGTGCAAAAAGCCTGGTAGAAGAAGAGAACAGCTCAGACAAGACAGGGAACATGAGCTGATGAGCCTCAGCCGAGGGGCAAGCAAGCTCTGACTGTGACAGAATGTCTCAAAGACTATCAAAGCCCAAGAAACCGCTACCTCCATCCGATTTCTCCAGCTAGCACCTGGATAGTCAGACTGCCACAGGGGAGGACAGGGTGATGACTCCTTTGGCCCTTCTGGAACAGGAAGACCACCCAAGCTTTGCAGCATGTCATTTTGTAAAAAGGCTCCAACTCTCCCCAAGTGGACCCCTCACTTTACTTGGAGATTTGCCTCAAGGCCAAGTTTCACCCAAAGGAAAAGCAGAGGCTTAGTCACTGAAGCCGTTATCACATGTGCATTTAACTTATGCAAATTCAGTGATGTGATTGGGAAAACATTAATTACAAATTTAAGATACTGTAAAATGACATTTTACATACACCCTCTACACACTGTCATGACTATCCTCATTACACACTTTAAATTTTGTCTACTTGAGATTTTTACATTAAGTGCTGGCTTTAAACTCTAACCAAAAGTAACATTCATTTCCATATTTCTTTTCACCTGAATTTAAACTCCTAAGATTTTACTTTTCCATCATTCCTAACTGAAAACTTAAAGTGAACAATTTTCCCAGGACTGTTATTTCCCCTAACCCTACCTTCCTTGGTTTAGCCCACAGCCCTGTCTGCACAGTGAGCTCATCTCAACCTCGCAGCACATGACAGGCAAAGTTCCCCTAGGGTAAGGCAGGCTCGTTTCAACACTGATTAGGCGTGTGACCTCCAGGTAGTTACTGCAAGGCCACCACAAAACCAGTGGTCCCCAAGATAGAAGTCAGGGTCCAGCAGTTAAAAGCAAGGCCTCTTACATGAAATAGACCTGGGTCCATCTTCTGTATTCACCATTTACTAGCTGCTGCTACCCCTTGGGCCCTACTTAACTTGTATGAGCTCCATTTCCTCATCTATTAGAGAAATTAAAAACAAAAAATAGCAATCTGCCCTACAGGGTTGCTGTGAGGCCTAAATCCTGAGCAAAGAACACCCTTCAATTAATTTTAGCTATTGTAATGATCCATGTTGCTTGATAACTCTTTTATCTGTCTGTAGTTAACAGCCTTTGCCATATGGGCTTTCCCTGCAAATCAGCAAGGAAACACTAACTGTAACTTCCCCAAGTCACACAGCTAGGAGGTGGCAAAGCCAGGAATTTGTACCGCATCTCAGGTGCTGCTTTGCAAACTGTTGCCAGTTTGCAAACAAGAAAGCAAGGAAATTGAGAGCAAATGTTTAGAAATTTACAACAGTTTGACAGAAAAATTTTCTATTTAATCCAAAAAAAAAAAAAGGCAGGCTCATATTTTGAGCGCTTTTAAGGTTTTCACTTTTCCAGTAATCCATTTATATTGATTTTATAAAAGTATCGACCCAAAATCCTGTTCCTTTGTGCAGCTGGGATCTTGCCGCAAAGGCGGCCTTCCATACCGACCCCGGGGTTCAGGACAGGCATGCTCAGGGTCAAGGCAGAGGAAGCCTCAGGAGAAGAACTCTGGGAACTGGTGGGGCGGCCTGACAAGATCTCTACGAGGCTATAACACGGGTCCCTACCGCCCTTCGGCTCGCCAAGCGCCAACACTAACCACCGGGCCTAGGTATCTGCAACTTCTCCGCCCGGAAGGTTCCGCCTACACCATCCTAGCTCCTCGTCGTTTGTCCTCAGCTCAAACGTCCCCTCTTCAGCAAGGTGTTCCTGAGAATCCTACCTAGCCCAGGTCACCCATCCTTCATTTCCCATATGGGCCCCGTGGCTGCCTAGTTACAGCGCTTCTGCACACGTTTGTCGCGGCCACTGGGGAGGGGGCCCTACTTTCCCGATGGCCACTGCGGCAGCGGAATAGTACCTCGCAGGCTATACTTAGCACACATTTATTGAATAGATGGAAAAGAGACCGAAAGAGATGGTCCCATCCAATAAACACAAAGAAATGCCTGGCCATGCGAATAATTTCCGCTTGTGGGCCTGTTTCTGCCTCTGAAAAATGGGGTCGCGCTGCCCTCCCCGTCTAACTCCACCGGAAGGGCTTCGTTGGGGAACCTTCGGGGGGCGGGCACCGGACGGGGGGCTTCGGCCTGCAGCGTCACGTCCGCTAAGGTTACCTGTGGGGCTGGGGGCGAACCGCACTCGCACAGCCGCCCCGGAGTCAGTGCCCACGCTGGCCTCGCGCCGTCCCAGGAAGCACCCCAAGACTCCCAGGGGCCTCCCTGGCTGCAGCAGCGTCCTCAAGAGCGTCGCCATGTGGGTTGCACTCACCCACGTGGGCTTCTCGAGAATCATTTCCGGGGACTCATCCCAACCAATAAGCTTCCGCCACAGAGGGCACAACCCCGCCCCTTAAAGGCGCAGGCCCCTTAACCTGCAAGCCCACGCTCCCCTGTTCGGCCGCGGCTTCTCTCAGCCTCTAGAGGGCAGAGCCCGTGGAGCCGGCGATTTCCCGGGCCCTGCCCCCTCGGCTGCGGAAAGCTAAAGCGTGGCAGGGGCCGGGCCCGGGAAGCGGAGGAGGCGGGTCTCCATAGAAACCTCCACCTGTTTCCGGCCAGGCTGGGCAAGATTAGGGGCTGCTGCGGGGGCCAATCTCAGCCAGCTCGCCCTCTTCCCGGCGGCCCCTGCGGCGCGGTGGGTGTTGTACACAATCATCATGGCGGCGGCCGGGGCCCCGGATGGTGAGTGTGGCGCGGCGGCGGGCGCCGGGGTCGGGCCCGGGTGAAGTGGTCGCTCCTCGGGGACGCGGTCTGGCCCGGGTGGT